TATTTAGAGCTATCTAAGAAGATAGTAATATCTAAAGATAGAAGGTTAGCATACTATTCTTAGAAAGCCTTTACTACAGACTTTTTATCTAAGCCTATAGTAGGGTCTATGTAATAGCTAGGTAAGTAGTAAGGGGTAGATAGTGTTGTCCTAGGTATCTTAGGCAGAAGAGATCCTAGATACTAGACCTTGGTCCGCATTTGCTGCAGCTTTCCAGCTAACCTGCCTATGCTCATCCTTATAGCTGCTGTGTAACTAGCAAGTGGATGTTCTGTATCTACTGTGCGTAGATGTGTTGCAAAGCAGAGTTTAGCTTCTTCCAGCGCAGTGGCAGCAGAGGGTAGTCCAGCGTCTTGGAAGAGAGTAGCAATAGGGGTTGTTCGCCACACTAGGAGGATCCCTCTTGCTGCTATACCTAGTGTTTTGTCCATAACCGCTATATGCCACCTAACATAGGTACTAACTTCTGCTAGTCTTCCAGGTTTGAGTGTACGTGGAGGTAGGCTGGCGGATGGGTAGGGTAACGTACTCTATCACCGAGCCGGTCATATCACCGAACCGGTCACTTAAAATCCCACCAAAAAACACAGAAACCATACCCCTGCATCTTAATAACTACTTAATAGAATCTTCTAAAAACTTCAGAATAGAGCTGTATCTATACTAATAAAACTATTTAAAAGTCTTAGACTAATAGCTAGTATAGATGTTGAGATAGCCTGCAGCTACCCCTGTATTTTAGTATCTTCTAAATAACATCTGCAATATAGGGCTAAGCACTCTAAGACTTTCAAACAGTCTTATTAGTATAGATGCAGCTCTATTCTGAAGTTTTTAGAAGATTCTATTAAGTAGTTATTAAGATGCAGGGGTATGGTTTCTGTGTTTTTTGGTGGGATTTTAAGTGACCAGTTCAGTGATATGACCAGCTCGGTGATAGAGTACGTTATGCTTTTTTACGTTTTGGCTTATAGCTTCTTAACTAGCAGAGATACGCTTACATAATCTATTATTCGATAGAAGGGCCTAGTATTGCGCCTTCTAATAAAAAAAGAATTAGCTAATTCTGCCTAGTATTAGCTAAGTTATTAACACTACCTAGCAAAGTATACCTATTAATAGGTATGCTCGCTAGGTACCCCCCCTTTTTTAACCTTTTCTAGCCTCTAGCTTGTGCAGTTTAATAGTTATAACAAAACCCTCTACTACAGAAATGTAGAGGTAGTTTTTCTCTTTCTTTTAAGCCCTATTTTGCTAGAATCCATGTATTATTGACAAAGTTTTGGGGGGTACCCACGAAGGACGTTGGAGTATACCTATTCCGCCAGCCTAGTCTATAGACAGCAGCTCTGCTAGATACAGTGTGTACAGGATTAGGGAGAGGGGTAAGCCCTGCAGCGTGCCGCAGGCGACTAGGCAGCTAGGGGTAGTGGCTTAGCCTAGGCGTACTTAGACCCTTTAATTAGTAAGGAAAGAGTTAACAAAGAGGATAGTCCTTTGTAGCTAGCCCTGTCAGGCCATCTAGTGCAGAAGGCAGTTCTTAAGGAGAGCGTTAAAGGCGCCTTGCACATCTAATATTACTATTGTAACGTGCTAGCCTTTAGCCTACACAGCTTCTATGTTATAAGTAAATGCTGCAGTAAGATCTACAGCAGAGCGCTTTAGGAGGGCGCCTCTATGTTAGGGGCTAAGGATCTTGTAGGTCATGGCAGTCTACGCTATTATTCTAGCCACTGTCCTTTCAAGTCCTTTTCTAACGCAGGAGAGGAGTGTTATAGGTCTCTAGGATTAGGGTGACGTCTAGTCTTTCTTTCCTGCCTTAGGTATTATAGCTACCTCTGCAAGCTTCTACTAGCCTAGGAAGTAGTTTAGTTAAAGGTATTGCTAAAAGATCTGTTGTATAAGTTCCCTAACCTAGGCCTAGCAGGCGCGGAGCAGTCGCACTGTAGAGTGGTCAGTTCCTGGCGATGTGCTGGAGACCCCTATTGTATTTCGCTCAGCTTCCTCTAGTGAGATGTGTGTGCTCTAAGGGAGAGACGCTCTTGCTTCCTGCTCTGGTTAGTGGCTAAGGTTGTCTTCTACTGTGTAGCAGTTGAGGATTTCCTCTCAGAGTGCCTCTGCCTTCTCTAGGTGGTTAGATATTGTTTTGCTGTCTATTATAAGAGGGGTGTCCTAGTAGTTTAGTGTAAGCTTATGCTAGGCAATCACCTTAAACAGATCCTTGCTATCCTTAGCATTGTTAATAATATATCTCTAGTATTACCTTTTAGCCTGTTAGACTATTGTCTTAAAGGCTTGTGTTTCCTCTAGTATAGCGCTGCTGCAGCAGTGTTGTCTAGCGTGTTTATAGGCTTGGTAGGCTGTCTTGCACTCCTTGGTCCACCACAGTGCAGCGCGTCCTTGCTTGCAATCTAGCTTGCCTGCTGTCTGTATAGAGTGCTAGAATGCCTCTGTTAGCAGCACAACACATCTGTCAAGCTATGCTGCGTTGTAAGCCCTAAGCAGGTCTAGGATGTTCTAGACGCCTATCTTAACAAGCCCTGTAAACTTAGGTAGGCCTGCTTCTGCAACTTAGTAGTAGTGCTAATCTAGGTGCTGCATGTCCCTTATAGAGGTAGGGACATAAGTTACTATTGTCTTGTGGTCTAATCCACTGTGCATGCTTGCATCTACTCGGGACTGTGCGAATGGGACATTAGAGAAGGTAAGGTCAATGACCTGGCCAGCTTGGTGTTGGCTGTCCTAGGATGCCAATGTAGTCCATAGAGGCAGCAGCAGCCCATCTAGCTAGCTCGGCACCCCCGTTGGCTGCGCTGGCGGTAGGATTAGAGGACTCATGCTTAGCGTTGAAGTCACCCCCTATAAGGCATTGTTGAGGAGGTGCGAGATGCGTAACGTACTAGATTACACTAGGGGTGTATAGCTGTCTGTAATAGTTAAGGATTAAGACACTGTTTACAACAGCCTACAGCAGATCTAGGTAATTAAGGCTTTCTCTAGCCTAGAGTTTCAGGTAGTGCCCTTTGTGTATATAGGTTATTACCCTAGGGCGGACTAAGCCTAGTGTGTTAGGGGCATCCTAGGTGCTAATAGGTGCTAGGTGTCTGTAGCCTAGGTAGGTAGAGGTTCTTAAGTTAGCACAGGTAAAGGGTTCTTAGACGCATACTACGTCCATGTCCTTCTAAAAGGACACTTCTAGTATAGTAATGTGGCAGGGGGAGCTTCTGCTAACGTTGGCCCAGCATACGCAGAGTTAGTTTCTCTGCTTGCTAGGCTTTTGTTGCCTGTTGTGGGCAGAGGTAGTATGTTAGTGTCCTAGCATGTAGATAGTAGATCCTTGCTTATGCTGGTGTCCTCCCTCTCTAAGGTGGAGGTGTTAGTGTAGATAGTTAATTGTGGGCGCATACTGTTGGCAGACATGTCCCTCACATTTAGGTTTGCACGGCCTGCAGCAGCCCGTCTTAGTCTCTTTTCCCTGTTAGTGGGTAAGGATGCTTGAGAGGCGCTGCTAATTTCAGTTGTAGCTGCCCTGCTCTCTTCCTCTGGTGCTTGCCTTCGGAGAGGAGAGTGGGGAGCTGGGATCTCTTGGGTGGCCTCTAGGGGGGTATCGGCCACTCGCCCGTGAGGTACGTTATGCTTTAAAGGAGCTTTTAATGCCTCAACTACTAAGAGTAATATTTAGGGAGGGTTTAGAGGTGCTGGCTTAGTCCCCCTTAATCTGCAGGCTATAATATTAAAGCTTAGAGTGCGCCTATGTACTCCACTACTACCTACTATAGATAAGAGTACGTAGCACTCTTATACCGTACAGAACACCCTGGAATTTAGGTCGCAATTAAAGCTAATTTAAGAGAGGATTCAGCAACATAGCAATAGCTCTCTAACTTTTGCGATAGAGAGGCGAAGGCGGCAGCAACAGCTCACAAAAAAAAGCAGCAGCAAGAGGAGGCAAAGTTAGCTTAACAGCGTGCTGCTGAGGAGCGTCGCGAGGCAAAGAAATCACAAGCTGAAGCGCTGGCTGCCAAACGAGCGCTCGAAAAGCAGCAACACAACGCTTCAATCGCTCAAAAATCTCACAATACGCTCAACAACTGTAAGTGAAAAGTCTCACACAGTGCTGCAAAAAATCTAACAAAGTGTTGTTGTGTTGTGGCTGCTTGAAGTCGTGTTGACGCTGCACTGCTAGCGTGCACGGCCTCGTAGTGCACACCGGCGCGTAATGCACACCCCACCACCTTTTGCACCCCCAAATAAGTGAGGTTATTGAGCAACATCACAATGCTGGTATAGCGAGATAAGTTAGTAGATTACTATATAGACTATTGCAAAACTTTTAGCTACTATAGTTTTCTAGGAAAACGCGTGGTACAGCTAGTAGATGCCTTAGTAGGTAGTAGTAGTAAGGGCGCCTTATAGGCAACACGCCACCTTTACGCAGCACTACTACCACAATTCTTTATTACTTTTAACTAAGATTTCTATAAGACCTTGCTCTTAGCCTGTTAAGGTAATTAAGTACTTTTTTCTGTGTTGCTCTTACACTAAGCCTCTTCTTTATAAGCCTTAGTTTTAGCGCGCTTTGCAGCCTATGCCTTAGCTGTTAATACCTTCTTCTTCTCTTACTTAACACGCTTATCCTTCTTCTCCTTTGCTTAAATAATCTTCTTCTAGTGTTAAAGCTCCTTCTTAGTAGCTTTTACTGCCTCTACAGCACGCTTAAGGTCCTCTTTTGCCTAAAGTTCTTGCTTTGCGTGCTTAATGCGTGAAGGACTCTATAAGACTACACTACTACTATTATTACTATTAATAGGTTGTAAAGGTAGTACCTTTTACTTCCTCTTCTTCTTCTTATTTATACTTAGAGCCTCTTCTAGGCCTGTAACTCTGTGTTAAACAACCTCTAATTACACATAGAGTTAGTAAAGCGCTTAATTAAGTGCCTTATTAGCACTAGACTTATCCTCTTCTCTTGCACAGTTAAGTAGCCTTTAAGTCTTGCGCTAACTAGGTAGTTCTAGTGCAGGCTTAAGCCTAGTCAGCTCTAGGGTTGTGCTAGGCGACTTTAGTGTTGTATTTTTAAAACTCTCAAGGACAACGTCGGCATCTAGTAGGTAGATCCTAGTGCACCTAAAGGCCTCTTCTATAAGGTCTTTAGTGAAGGTCTTCTTCCACGCTGCCCAGAAGAGTGGGAAGAAGTCGCTCTGAGCTACAGGCGCCCACCCCTCAGTAGTGTGGCCGCGATGAAGGAGCTCTTCAGAGTAGTGATGCGCCAACGACCTAAAGCACGCTACATCAAGCGGCTGAAGCGCGTGAGTAGCATGCGGAGGGAATAGAAGTACCAGAATCTTGTTGGCATGAGCGTACTCAATAAAAGCCTTTGTAACGTGGCTACCATGACCATCAAGGATCAAGAGTCAGTACTTCCCTTGCGCTCTAACTCTAGTATAGCGATCAAACACCTGCTTAAGCTAGGTAAGTCTAAGGGCATTATTTATCTAGCTATTTAGTAAGGTACTAAAGTGCACGCAGTCTTTCTTAGCTTTAAATTCCTTTAACTAGCTGTGTTGCACAGTAAGGGAAGATAAAGGGAAAATAACTGCAGGCAGCAACGCAAAACTATTAGCTCCTACTACTCCTACTACTGTCACCCACTTCCTGTTGCTATTATAAGATGCTAGCTTGAATCTCTAGAGTCTAAAGAGCTTCTTGTTAAAAATTCTAACGCTCTTTCTAATCACTCTAATTATAAAGCCCTTCTCATCTATATTGTACGTGTTCTCCACCTCTATTGCATGCTGCTTTATTGTACTGTGCAGGAGATCAAAATAGAGGCGAAAGGAATCATATAAAGCAGCGTCGTGACGCTGCTTCTCCATAGGCGCTGACCAGGCGGTGAGGAGTTTGTTGGGGTAACAATAAAGGAAGCAAGAAATCTATTAATTGCTTGGCAGCCACCTGCACAGAGGCGTGATTATTCTTACAAGAACCTTTCTTGTAGGCATAAGGTGTCTCTCTGTAAGCAATTTAACGTACTGTACAATCTCTACCTTATCGCGTGGGTAGAGAACTAGCTAGTCTTTTGCCTTGTGTTCACGCGACGCGCATACGCTGTGGTGGCAGCGCGTTAAAGTTGAGCGGCAACAACCATGTTTTTTGGCAAGAGCTTGGTACGAAAGTGTATTGTCAGGTCCTAAAGTATCTAGCTCTGCAAGGGCTTCTTCTAGCGGCATCGTGGTGTTGAGTTATGGGGGGTGCAAAGTAGGCGTCAATGTTGGTGGGGTGTGCATTACGCGCCGGTGTGCACTACGAGGCCGTGCACGTTAGCTGCGTCTCCCCCACCCAAAATCACTGCGATAGGCCGCAACTTGCGGTTACCAGCCAAATATAAATAGCATAATTGAAGCGCAAGGCTCTATATAGCAATACACGAACACTTCTCGCAACAACATCTTTTAGGTGTGGCTCTACAGCTTCATTTTTCTCTTGTCAATATCTCGTTGGGGTGGCTCATTGGCTGAACTGGCTCATCGGGCGCGCGGCCACGGTACCTACCGGTTACGGTAGCAGTCCCGCCGAGAAGGCGATGGATCTAGAAGGCGTGAGGTGACCACACAGGCGTGTATATGCGGCAACCCCTGATAGACTGTCAATTGCTTGCCCGGAGCATGTTCCGGTACTGATAGGTAATTCACCGTCTGCCGAGGTAACTTTGCTTGACACGCGGGACAATGCTGGCGAAAGCTTAACTTCTCCGGCCACTTGGTGGGGTTTAATATTTTAAGTGCGGACGTGGTGTGCAGGGTTGATGCACCCAAGGCGCGAAGGACCTTGCTGACCTACAGATGCAACATCTGCTAGCTCCGTTGTGAGGCTTCCCATGTTGTCCAGCGTGGGCAGGAACTGTGCTGGTTGCTTACTGTATTGTTTATACCATCCAGATCGTGACTCGAGAATCTTCGAGGCTTACCTGCCACTCGGTCGATACTAACACGTAGACGAGGACCACTGCGCGGGAGACGCGCGTTATGGAAGCTTCATTAACTAGCGGAGGTTGGAGCGCATGCTTGTTTGCGATCTTTAACCACATATAGTCGTACCTGCATGCAAGTACCGGAGATGCTCCACTGTAGCCGGTACCTGTCTCAGCTCCCGACATCTGCGGGGTGATTGCGGGGTGCTTACGCGCCATCAAAGGAGTAAATCGCTACTTTTGGCGAACATCCGAGTCTAAGTATTCCACTTTTACGGGACAATTTCACCCCGCAGCAGCCAGTCCGGAGGAATATCACTTAACTTTCACATCAAAAACTGATAGTGCTTATGTCCGTCGTTTTAACAACTCCATCAGTAGTTTGATCAACGAAGCAGAAATCCAAAGCCCTAGTATTCGCAGTCGGACCGAACACATACTGGAAAGAGGTATTAAGCCTAAAATCCACAAGCTTGCTTTTCGTCAGCGTCTTCCAAGATGGGTTACTCAAAATAAACCACCTTCCTCCTAGGGACGAGCATCGTGACTGAAATTTGGATGCGCCCGTGGTACTTGTGCTCGATCTTATACATTAGAGTACTGGGGTCTGATACGCAACTATTGGTTCGCAGGCCGGGACTCGACACAGATATCACAACTGGTAAGGAGCAGGTATCCAATCAAGCTACGTGCGATCATAGACTCACCAAGGGAGTCCCAGAGAATCAGATCTTTAACCCAGGATTAAAATGTGACCCCTTGCAAAACTGCAGCACCGCCTGAATTCAGCTCCCCGCTAGGATATCAAATTGGCCAAACTCCGAAGAAATTTGATGAGCAGGGTTGGTCAATAATTTTGGCAACCCCGTGTCCTTAGATACAAAACACTCCCTCCCTTCAACTCAATCTACCACTCTTCATCTATCCTACATTTGCTTTGCTACCAATCTGAAGTTCAACATGAAATCCTTTGCCATCACCCTTCTCGCTGGCTTGACCGCTGCCTCTCCTATCATCGTCACCGAGTCTGCGGCGATTAAGCTTCAAGCTCGCCAGCTTAGCACAACCAGTACGGAGCTCGAAGACGGCAGCTCTTCCGCATGCCCGAAGGCTATCTTAATCTTCGCCCGAGGAAGTACTGAGGATGGTAATTTGGTAGGTGTTGTTCCAAGTTCGAACCGCCTGATCCCACGACAATCCTCTGATCACTCCACAGGGCCCCTTAGGTGTATCCCTTGGCAATGCCCTCGAGAGCAACTATGGCGCCGCAAATATCTGGGTCCAAGGCGTCGGTGGCCCATATGACGCCACCCTTGCAGACAACCTTTTGTCCCGAGGGACGTCCGCCGCTGCCATCGCAGAGGGTGTCCGCCTGCTCAACCTGGCAAATAGCAAATGCCCTAATTCCAAGACCGTCACCGGAGGCTACTCGTTCGTGCTCTCCCTCTGTTACTAGACGAAAAAGCTGACATCTGCTCAGTCAGGGCTCTGCTCTGATCGCCGCTGCCTTGACAGACGTGACCGCCGCCGTTCGCAACCAAGCGATTGGAACTGTCCTCTTCGGCTACACTCAGAATAAGCAGAACGATGGTGGCATTCCCAACTACCCGTCGGATAGACTCAAGGTCTTCTGTGCAGACGGAGATCTTGTCTGCGATGGTACCCTCCTCATCACTAGCGCCCACTTCTCTTATGACGACGACGCAGCCAACGCGGGCCCAGCGTTTTTGGAGAGCAAGATTGGTGCTTGATATGTGTCTCTGTGGCGTTGGTCGTATACGATGTTCTTATCCGGACTTAATTCACCGTAGTGTACCTGGATCCAGTAAGAGCCGCAACAGTTTCGTAGTCTGGGTCCATTGTAATGAAGCTGGTGTTCTTGATCGAGCTTGACACGTGAACTGTGACACTGGCGCATATCAGCATGCTCCTAAATGTTTCTTGTCCGACATTCCCTAGAATCGCGCAGTGAACTGAACACTATTTATCTTCTTGATAAAAAACTGTTGCGGTATCAACGGCAAATGTATAAACGAGTGTATTGTGTTGTTCTGTTTTCTTGTTCTGCTTGTATCTTTTCTCTCAAGGCTCGCTGCGGGGTCTGTTTTGATGACGTGTTTGTGATGCGGCTGAGGTAAGAGGTGCTCAACAATATGACGAAGCAGTACCAGACCACTGCTAACAACACGTGATCTGCTTCTCCTCTTAACTGCTACACGCCCCCTCACCCTGTAGTTAATTTGCAATGTATGGATATACCTCTCAGCTATTATTCTCTATCTTACAAGCCTTTAAGTGAACGTCTATAAACTGTATTTGCTGTATAAGTTTAATATGGTTCTAACAATAAAGAATGTTCGTTATGCTGTTAGCAGGAATCTATCTTGTAGGCCTCTAGTGGATGTGGAGTTAATTCTGCTTAACCCCTTAGCAGATCTAGTTCTAATAAATATTAACGTGTTTAAGCTTAGTACTAAGCTTGTCCTGCTCCTTTGTGATTACGCCTACAGTCTGTTAACGTACTCTATCACCGAGCCGGTCATATCACCAAACCAGTCACTTAAAATCCCACCAAAAAACACAGAAACCATACCCCTGCATCTCAATAACTACTTAACAGAATCTTCTAAAAACTTCAGAATAGAGCTGCATCTATACTAATAAGACTGTTTAAAAGTCTTAGAGTGCTTAGCCCTATATTGCAGATGTTGTTTAGAAGATACTAAAATACAGGGGTAGCTGTAGGCTATCTCAACATCTATACTAGCTATTAGTCTAAGACTTTTAAATAGTTTTATTAGTATAGATACAGCTCTATTCTAAAGTTTTTAGAAGATTCTATTAAGTAGTTATTAAGATGCAGGGGTATGGTTTCTGTGTTTTTTGGTAGGATTTTAAGTGACTAGTTCGGTGATATGACCAGCTCGGTGATAGAGTACGTTAGTTGTCGCACTAAATAATAGGCGTCTAGCTAAGCTTCAAAGTTCTATCTTTAATCTAGCAAGTGAAAGAGCAAGAAGCTCTGCTTCTGCTATTAATTTCGTGACAGTGCATTGAAGTGTTGACTTCCAGTCAACAGTCATGCTAAATAGCTGAAATACGTATCCTTAAGAGCTTCGGCGCATCTCAAAGTTGTCAGTAAAGGAGGCATTAGATGTAAGGAACTGGCCTCTGCGGGCTATTTGCAAGTGTGAATTAAATAGATTTGTTAAGGGGTAGCTGCAGGCAGAGGTCTGCAGACTTTTATAACCTCTGTGCAGAGGTGCTATAATTAGTTAAGATTAGGACCTCCTGACTAGGGATACAGCTAGGCAGGCACTGTAGTAGTCTGGCCAAAGGCCGATAAAGGATATCTACTTCCTAACAACTTTTGCTAAAAAGCATGCACAAGTTAACTAGACGTCTAGTTAACTGCGTAGATAGTATATATCTAGCTTAAGCCAAGCCGGCTTAGCTAGTGTAACCGGCTAGCTCTAGCTCTTCTTAGCTTTAGAGTCTAGACCGTTACACACGCCCCTTGTAGATAATGAAAGGTGGGGTTGCATACCTAGCAGCGCAGATGCTCTAGATAACTGTAACCCACTCCTAATTACCTGGCTAAATGAGGTTTAGCCTTATACGCTTCTCTAAGCCTGTGAGAACCTTTATTAAGCTAATTACTCCTATCTAAAAGCTAGTCTTATTAAAGTTGTAGATATCCTTATCTAGGACCCTATACTTGTCTTTTGTCTCCTGTACAAGCTGAAACTACGCGCTAATTACCTCTAGATCTTCCTAGAGTATTCTCTAACAGTCCTTTGCTTAATTAAAAGCTATCTTAAGCTCCTTTGTAGGCGACAAAAATCGCTCAGCCCAGTTCTTGCCAATAGGTGTCCCACCACGTATAGCTCAGGCACTGACCGGCCTCTAAACACACACGAGGGATCCACCCTAATGTATATACACTGCTCAGTCTCCCCAACTGGAAGGGGAGCTGAAGCTCTGAAATGGTAGCAATGCCCACGCAGGCAAGAAATGCTTTCTAAGGTAGTGTGTCAGCACTGTAATTCCATAGCTTAGCACGTCGTATATGCCCTTCGGGAGGCGCGATGGCGGACCTCGTCCCCATCAACTAGACGTAAAATGAATACCACTCAACCAACCAACCAACCACGTATAGCTAATAGTTTGTCTGCAATATCCACTACCTTACACAGCTAGGGGGCAAATCCGCGCGAAATAAGGTTAAGGATGTATTATACAATTATTTGCTCTTCTTTTACAGAGAGCTTCTAGCTATTAGGTAGTGCTTCTTATTAAAATATATTTTTATTTAGCTAATTAGAGAGCCTCTAGAAAGGTACATTAAAGGCAGCAGCAGCGCTCTGTACGCTCTTAAATTGTCCTAAGGTATAGGCCTAAAAAGTAAGAATAATTCTACCTTGTTACTAAGTTAATATATAGTTGTTGTAACGGGCTAGGCCCGATGGTAGCGCCTCGGCGCTCGCCGGCCTCGGCCAACCTCCGAGAGGAGGTGCCTGCCCAGCTGTACCCCCAGTCAGGAGGTCTCAATCTTGACTAATTGTGTAACCTCTGCACAGAGGACATAAAAGTCTGCAGACCTCTGCCTGCAGCCACTCCTTAACAAATCTATTTAATTCATACTTGCAAATAGCCTATAGAGGTGTCAGATGCTCGCACTGTTAGCCAGAGTATGTGCTTAACGAGATCTTAGGTGGTATGATGATTTATTGATGATCGTGGCGATGGTGTCTGCGCCGTGGCGTTGTGCTGGTTGCTACAGGATTGAAGTGGGGGGGAATTAGCGCTGTTCGCGGCCGCCTGTGTGCGGGCCAATCAGGGGTTGCCAGGTCTCGCTTAATCGACCTGGCAGCTGCTGATTGGCTGCGCGACAGGTCCCTGCTTAATTGCGCAGATCCAACCTCTTACTGCTTGCTCTTATCTAACACACCCCCTTTAGCTTAGAAACTCTTTAAGCTAACTATTTATACGCGTGTAAGGTCCTTAATTTATTCTTAAATCTTGTCTAGAGGCACGCTGTTTAGCACTTCTATTAACTCCCTGTTTACTAGACTAAGTTGCTAGAGGAAACCTTCCTACTTATTTAATAGGAGTACCTTTATAAGTCTGTCTGCTATTATGCTTGCAGACTAGATATATTCTATAATAATCTTTCTAGTAGCTACCTTCTGTTAGAGCTAGTAGTTATAGATATCTACATACTAAAGTTTAGTATGTAGTAACAACACTTCCTTAGTAACTAGTTTAATTGTTTATTTATTATTATATTATATTATAATAGCATAAAACCTGTTTTATCAGTGAGCGCCCCACCTCAGTGAGCGCCCCACGAACACCAGCGAGGCGTACGCGCAGCGACGTAGCTTAGCACCACAACACAAATTTTGTACTCTTGCAACAGTATAGTATTATTTAGAAGCGTTGCTGTTATTTATATCCTTAATTTCTACCTTGCAGGTGCAAGAGTTGTGCCTAATCTCACCGCAACAGCCACAGCGTCGCCCTGCGCGCACCCTCTTCGCCAGCTCCTTACCCTCCTCACATCTGCCACCCTCCCTTTCAGCAATTAAGTCTGATACCTCGCTAACTGTTAATGTCTCCTCTGCCTAGACATAGCGTCTCTTGCAACTTTTACACTTTATTGCTGCTTTAGTAGCAGTATTAAGGCGCACTATCTCTGCGCGCATTAACACTATCTTATAAGCTATCTGCTGCGCGCCTTTTGTTAGCTGCCGCACCTGCTTATTAAGTGAACTTGCTAGAGACCCTTAATAGATTTTTATCCTGTTTTAAACTAGTGTTAATTGCGCCTCTATTTCTTTAGCGTTGCGTGGTGTTTTCGCCTCCTAAGCGGCGTTAACTTGCTGTGGTGGAGTTTGCGTACGCAGCTGCACATCCAGCTTTGATAACACAGCCTGTGGATTATGTAGAGACAATCTAGCGCCTTAAAACCCTGCGCAAGCATTCTCTCTTATAAACGCCTTCTTAAAAGCTACTTTAAAGGCTAGTAAGAAGGTCTGTTTGCTAATGTGGTTAATGCAATTGCGTGCTAAGGCTGAGATCTGATTACTATACGCGCGCTTCAATGGCGAGAAACAGGCGACATTAAGCAGCTGCAGGAGGTGCAACGAGTGTGGAGGCATACAGAGGGCAATAATCTTCTTCTCCTTGCAGCAATCCTAGAAATCTATTAAGCAATAGCTCTTGTGGCTGTTAATAATTAGCAGCCTATACGCTCCTACAGGCCTTGCATGCGTATTAAAGTAATTAAGCCAGGCAAGCGCTAGATTGTTGTTTGTCTAGCCTGTTAGGCTTACTTAAATAACCTAATTGTGTAGGAGGTCCTTAGTAAACTAGTTAGAGATAAGAACCTTGCTAGCAAAGATAAGGAAGGGTAGGATAACACGCCCTGTTGCGCTGACGCCCTGTATTAACATAGTCTACTCGCAATTACTAGGCTAAAGCTTCTTCGCTTTCCTAGGTTTCTCTATGCCTGTCACAATAAGTTATAAAGATATCTTGCCTATTAGGAAGCTAGACTTGTTAAAGTTGTACATGTTATTGTCTACAATACTATACTTTGCCTTTATATTCTAAACTAGCGTGAACTAGGGCTTAATGATTGCTAGGTCTTCGCAGAGAGCTCGCTAGTGATTGTATAGACAAGTCTAGCGCGTGCGCAGCTTAGGTGTACACTTAATAAACCTGTCAACCCAGCATTTACTAACAGGCTCACCGCTGCAGTCGCGCAGCAGTCTATCAGCCATATCTTGTACGTGTAGCTTCAAGGGCGGTACTCCACGTAGGTTCTCGTCAAGTATACACTGCAGAATCACCTCCTCTTCTAGCTTTGTTAGGCGCTTTAATCTAGGCTTGCAGTCGCGTCTAGAGGGCTTCCTGTCACGTTGTTATTGTATTGTCCTACAAGGAACGCTGTAGACTGCCTCAGCACGTTGCAGGCTCGTAATCTGGTCGCATTTAATGTTAGAGAGGGCAAGCTGCACGTCAGCTTCAGTATAGGGCTTGTGAGGTTGTGGTTGTTGAGACATTACGCGTTGAGTGTCGCGCATGCGCTTTGCTGGTGTTCGTGGGGCGCTCACTGAGGTGGGGCGCTCACTGATAAAACAGGTTACACCTATATTAACATGTAGTTTGCACAAGAGCCTTAAGATAAAGAGTGCTTCTTTTACAACCTATGTAAGAGCAAGAAGCTTAGCCTTAGTTGTTAATATTATTACTATATCCTACTTGTTTACTTTCTATATAATAAGGCTACTAAAGAGTTTAATTACGTAGCCTTAGGAGCTCTTTCTATCTATAGTGTTGTTAGCAAAGGACACGTCACTTGCTACCTAGAGGCTAATGCCTCCTCTAAGCTGCAGTGATTGCTGTTTAGTGTTGAGTAGATATAGAAGCACCCTAGAATTCCTAGCCTATATAAAGTCTCTAGGCAATAGCTGTTAGAACCTATAGACGCAGTTAGGGTTGTTAGTAATATAACAGGTAGAACCTAAGTTAAGTATAAATAACTTCTATAGTAGATAGTTAGCAGCGTCCTGTTAGTTTACTGCGCTAAGCACTACTTTTGTAACAACGCTCTACGAACAGTGACCCGATACCACTAGGATACGGTTCTAGCGACTCATGACCATGGCCCTTGTCGCATGGCATAAGCTCACACCAAACTGCCACTAAACCCTCATATATAAGGAGCAAGGAACTGTAGCATTGTAGAGTAGTTTTTCTGTATCCTTTTGTACAAGACCTATAGGTGTAGAGAATATATCCTGGTGTTCTTATCATCTCAGCACTCCCATATGCCTCGTAGCGGATTCACACCTATTCTGGATATCTCTCTTCTTGCCTGCGTCGTTACAACTTTAATATAAGTAATTTCTCAGCCCTCTAGTTAATTGTCTAGGATTTCTAGGGTAGGGGTATGTAAGTGCTTTAGGGTTAGTGTTCTTAATTAGCTCTTACTTTATGTGCAAAGTAGCCCTTAAAAGGTAATATCTTTCTTATACTTAAACTTAATAAGTTTAGAAATAATCTTATTTAGTTTCTACTACTTAGGAGATCTGTCTTAATTAACATAGTAGTAATTGTAAAGTTATAAGACTTTGTTCTTATAATCTTTCTCTAGCGTATTTCCTTCTTAGGTATAGCGCTATGCTTACCTAAGCATTGTTATTGTAATCTCCAAGAAGAGAGGATTAGAATGGTGTGCTTACAAAGCCTGTATCTCCTCTCGTTCTTAAGATATGCTGTTCTCTATTTTTAGTAACTAGAAATGTTCTAGACCCTCTGCTTACAAATAGAGTAGCCTATTCTGTAAGATGCTGACGTATACGATTACGTATGCACCTACGTAATCTTGCTTGCATATGCAGCAATACTAAGCATAGATTACAAAGTAGACCTACCTAGAGGAGTCTAGAACGTTCTGCTTAGAAATACAGATAGAGGAGAGGAAGCATAAATACCTCTGGCTCTCCCCCCTCTGTCCGCTCTGTACCTAGCCTAGGAATCTCTACCTAGTATCTAATAACGTACTCTATCACCGAGCCAGTCATATCACCAAACTAGTCAAAATCTGCCAAGACCAACACAACTCCGCACTTCACAGTATGTCTTAACAACATCACAACGTATTACTTTAACACAAAGGGAGACTGTAGCTTACTCTCTAGGCCTACAATACTCGACAGTTTCAGAGCCATCAGGCTGCTGCTGCTGCATTCAATGTTAACCAACACAGGCTCTCTAAACGCGCTAGCAATACTCTATTTCAACTCAATATACGCGCAAACTACTAGAAGCTTACTGCAACTAAAGAGCAGACAATTGTCTGATATATCCTTAACCTTAATTTGCAAGGATTTGCGCCTTAGCTGTGTAAGGTGGCAGATATAGCTAATAAACTGTTAGGTGTGCGTAGTAGGGAGCCTGTTAGTAAACTCTAGGCTACAAGATTTTTAACACATTTAGATTAGCTTAAGATAGTGTTTAACTAAGCAAAGGACAGACAGAGGATACTGCAGGAAGATCCTAAGGTAATTAACACGTGGTTTATGCTAGTAGAGGGTACTAAGGCTAAGTATAGCATCTATAATAATAACATGCACAACTTTAATAAGACTAGGTTCTAGATAGGCGTGATAGGGTTAATGAAGGTTGTTACTGGCACTAAGAGACGCGCTCAACCTGAGCTTGTTTAGCCAGGCGATTGGGAGTAGGTTACAGTTATACAGAGCATCTGCGCTGCTGGATATGCAACCCTGCCTTTTATCATCTACAAAGGACGCATCCACATCTCTGCCTGGTACAAGGAGACAGATATACCACACAATTAGAAGCTCTCTGTCTCTAAGAATAGCTGGACAAACAACACGCTTAGCCTTAAGTAGTTAAAGCATTTTAACGCGCATACAAGAGCGCGTTAGGTAGGGGGATACAGGCTACTTATCTTAGACAGCCATAAGAGCCACCTTAACTAGGATTTTAAGGACTATTGCCTAGATAACAAGATCCTTACTCTCTGTATGCTAGCTTACTTGTCACACATCCTCTAGCTGCTTGACGTGGTCTGTTTCTTGCTGTTAAAGCGCAAGTACTCCCAACACGTCCAGGACTTAGCACGCTAACGCGTCTTCTATATTAACAAGGAAGGCTTCCTTCTAGCCTTTAGAGACGTGTTTCTTAATATGTTTACAAAGGCTAACTGTTAGAAGGCCTTTAAGGCATTAGGGCTAGTCCCTACTAACGCGCAGGTAGTGTTAGATTGCCTTAAGGTGCAACACTGTACCCTACCAGCACCCCCTCTACTAGAGACACTATAGCAGTTAAGGACTCTAAGCAATACACATAAGTTTAGGTCTTAGTTAAAGCTTGTACATAACTCCTTTACTTAGTTACTAGTTACAGCCTAGGCTAGCTTCTCTTAGCTTATTAAAGGTAGTAAATTAATGCTGCACTAAAACGCACTGTAACCTGCTCGCATTACTAAGCTTAAAGAGCAATTAGCAGTCATGACTAGGAGAAAGTCGCGCAAGCAAAAGCAAATTCAGCATAGCAGCACACTTAAGTATGGCCCAGCAGCATCACAGGTAGCTGCTGAGGTGTCTGTAGCAGCTTAGCCATTAAAGAAGACTTGTGGTGCAGGTACTTAAGAAAGGACCTAGTTAGCCTAACAGCGCTGTAGAAACTGTAGAGGCATAGGGCACAACGCTCAAACGTGTTAGAAAGATATAGAAGAAGATTCTAAATCTAATAAAAGCACGCAGTACGCTAAATTACTGTTTAATAGCAAGTAATTCAAGTTGCTGCAACATAAGTTGGGCGCGCCAAGAGATTTTGACTGGTTTAGTGATATAACTAGCTCGGTGATAGAGTACGTTATAATAACTTGTCTATTATATTACATAACCCTACCTTACCTCTATTAGGCTATACGCTTCCTATTTGGACAAAGCTAGTCTAGATTTGTCTAGGTCCTTCTAGACTAGGAAGAAAGTAGTCTAGTCCTTCCCCTACTTTCTTTACAGGTTATGAGCCCGGCTCTTTATAGCCTATAGAGAATTTTATATACTCTATAAGACTTAGTTCTAGCTATAATTATAGCTACTGCTTATATAAGCAGCTTACCTAAGCAAGAGAAAGAAGAGAAGCCAGACGGAAAGAGGCATACCTCTACCTGTATCTTCTCTATTCGATCTGCTGTTTCGACTCAGGCTTTTAGGCCTATAGAAGCAACTATATAGCTGCTTACTAAGCAGATAAGAAGTCTTTCTAGAGCTACTTTAGCCTAGAAAGCAGTAGTATCCTGCTATTAGTCCCTGTTCCTTAGACCTCTAGCGATAGAGACAATCTAAGAAACTAGAGCAATAATTCCTATCCAATCGACACCCTACATAAGACTATCTTAAGTCTATTTACAGCTTACATAAGCTATAATATAGACCTCTAAGAAACGCAGAGGGTAGTTATAATAGTAATATTATAGCACGGCTCTAGGTAGACTCTAGAACTAAGAACAAACTAGGCA